CCCCAAAACCCCAAAACCCCAAAACCCCAAAACCCCAAAACCCCTTTTCTCTATTCTTTATTTGATATAATTTAAATCGAAATTCGCAAAAATGAGTTCCAAAATTCAAGGTAAGTAACTAGCCAAATGTTGAGTCACCCAGTCTCGCCTTATTGCCATGCTACCTGTAGCACATCTGAATGATTTGTCTCTAGCAGGATCTAAAAATAATAAGTACTTCAAAACAATTGACTACTCTAAGAACCCAACTAAAACTTATTCAAGGAAGGAGAGCAAATAAAAGAGGAAGTGGAGGTAAATATCACTCATATATTTGGTCACCATTCGCTGATTTATTCAGGACTTATCTAATGAGAATCTTTTAGGGTTGTGCTCAATAAACAATTCGAATCTCAACACTAGTAAAAAGAAAGAAAACCCTGAGGTTTACAATATGAAGACAATTGCCTCCAGGCATACTAGGCATAAAAGTATGCTGTGAGGTGTAACTGGGAAGAAGGATAAATAGCACTGAGCAAAACTTCCTCAAAAGTACTTGTCAATGTGGCTCCACCTCCTTCAAAAGCTGTATCTGAAGTATTTCACAGCAAGACAATGGGCTGATCAGTAAGACAATTCAAAATAAGAGGTACCACCCAAAGCCATTAGTGACTTCTAAGAAAAAGCCTAAGATCTACTACTACAAAAAGCAGAAATTAAGTAAAGGAGATGAAGACTTTCTTGGTTATATCGGGAATCCGAAATCTAAATAAAAAGGCATCAGGGGAATTCTCGTTAGACCAAAATTTCACGATTGGGTCTTCTGATTTTGCCAAAAACATTAAAAATAAAGGACCGACTAAATTTAAGAAACCAAAGCATAAAAAGGCAGAGTCAATCTCTTCTTCTTTCATCAAACCAAAAATATCATCGAGCATTACTAGTTCGATGGTGTCGCACAAGAGGATAAGGAATAAACCTGAATTTTTAACATCCTTCAAAATGAACAACCAGCGAAGATCTTCAGAGACACAGTTTCCGAAACATGTGGGGGTAAAATACGAACCACTGAAAAAACCTCGGCTCGACAAGCCTTCTCCTAAGATAACCTCTAGTACTATCACTAACAGCCGTACTTTTTATTCTAAATAATGAAAGCATGAACACTAATTCTCAAAGAAACAACCATAGTTTCCTTGTAAGGGATAATAGAGTAGGAAATAGTGTCCTGAAATCTACTAAATCCGGGTCTAAGCGGCTTAAGAAGACCAAGACCCCTGCTGGCTCCAAAAAGACCCACACAAAGGGAAATAATAGTGTGTACATCAAGGATTTTGAAAAGTTAATGAAAGAGAGAGGCAATATTGACAACAAGAGCACTAAAAGAATGACTGTCATAAAGCAAGATAATTTCAACCTCATGGCTAAAAATATCAACAACAGTGAAGTAAAGATGTCTATCTATCTCATCAAACCTGATGAAGCTGGCGAGAGTTTCCCAAAATCTAAAATGCATGTAGCACCTATAGGTAAAAGTGGATTAAAATAAATCGAAGAATACTCTCAATAGTATTATTGACAAACAACTCTATCACAAAAGAGTGAAAAGTAATCAAATTTACAACGTCAAGCTACTAACAAAGCCAGACGAGAAGTCTCACAAAAAGAATTTAACAAAGTTCAAGTATAACAAAGAGCTACTCAAGGCTAAATCTAGTAAAAAGACAAAAGAATCCTCTGTTCCTCCTGGGTTTTCTCAGTATGCATTCAAGAAAGGGATTGATTTGCAAAAGAGCCTTATCCAGACTAGGAAGAAGAGCTCTTATCAATCACATAATTGTACTCCGAAGAAGCTCAAGGCTTTTAAAAGAGTCCCGAACCAAGCTGTGTGCCTGGCCCAATCTAAGAAGCATTATATTGGTGGATCAAAACCCTCCTCTAAAACTAAGCATAGTTTAGGAGAAACTGGATATCAAAACATGATCTCTCAGAAAGGAGAAATAAATTTTAACGGTCAAATTTCAGCCAACCTAATCTCTGGAGTTGCTAAGAGCTACCAAGATCTTGGTGTAGTTAACAAAGCTAAGAATCCAAGCTCCTGAGCTATTAAGACATTCAGTCCTAAGCAGAAAATATCTCAAGTTGAAAAGAACAGAAAGAATCTTTGTGACTACCAAAAAGATAAAAGGGCTAAACCTACTTCTAATAAACCTGTGGTTATGATGAACAGCAAGGTCGAAGGGAAGAATCCAGATAAGAATTTTAAAAGGTTATCTGTCAGCAGCAAACAGACGTCCCAAAACCCAAATACTTCCAGGACTAGGAAGAAAACTTCCAAGGTTTCCCATATTGGAGATAGCTATATCCAGACGCCTAAAACTGGGAAAAATAATGCCTCTGCTAACACCAAAGGAGTTTTTAAAAGAAGTTCTAAAGACTTAGGAAGTTCTTCTGTGAAGAAAGAAACCAGAATTAAAGAGGTCAACAACCCAATTAGTCCAAAAGGATCCAAGCTAGACCTCGGATATCCTGGCTTGGACATCCAATTTGAAGAGGAAGAGAAGAAACTTCCAATGTCTGATGAGAAGGAGAGCTCCAAAGCTAAGACTTTAAATATTAAAGATGAGTCTAACCCCAAGAGCACTACTGAAATTATCAGTCAGTTCTACAGAATAGGGAAGGTTCTTGGAAAAGGTGCATTTGGAAAGGTAAATCTTGCTATTGACAGGAAGAGTAAAGATTTGGTCGCTATTAAATCCATCAATAAGCACTTCATCGCGGATTCTTCCTCAAAAAGTAAGATTGCCCAAGAAGTTGCGATTCTCAAGAGAATTGACCACCAGAACATTGTCTGCATGAAAGATCATATAGAGACAGAGAATCATGTGATCTTTGTAATGGAGCTATGTGCAGGAGGAGACCTTCTAAATTATGTGCGAAAGAGAAGAAAGCTAAGTGAAAATACATCAAAGGTTATTTTCAAACAAATACTCAATGGGTTAGAGTATTGCCACCAGAACAATGTTCTCCATAGAGACATCAAATTAGATAACATCTTACTTGATAGTAAGGGTGAAGTTAAAATAGGAGACTTCGGAGTCTCGAAAATTGTTCAGGAAGGAGAAGTAATGCTCGACCAATGAGGAACACCAGCCTATATTGCACCTGAAATCCTTCTAGATAATGGTTATACTGGGTACGGGATTGATATTTGGAGTGCAGGAGTAGTCTTATATGCAATGTTGTATGGAACTGTCCCATTCAAAGCTCATAACATGAAAGAGCTCCACACATCTATTATCCTTGCTAAATATTCGCTCAAAGAGTGAATTTCAGAATTAGCGATGGATCTAATAAAGAAAATCCTTGAGCCAAATCCTTCTAAAAGGCTGTCAATAACACAAATTCTATCTCACCCTTGGTTTGAGGAAGTAGACGAAGATATAGAGTTATTCAATGATCAAGAGAAAGAAAAAATTCTTCGAGAATTCACATATAATAACACCGATAAATACAATAGAAACACAGAGAATGTAAACTTGAGCAGGGATAATATTTCTAACAGTGGGAGTACTGTGGAAAGTTTCACTGAGCATAACCTATCTACTCAAAACAGCTTGGTTCGGAATCATTCTACTAAATCTGTGATATTAGCTCCTTTCAATAGCACTATCAGTGAGATTGATCAAGAGACTAAGATGTTAGTTAAGCAGTTTATGGCTGATCGAAAGTCCCTGAAATTCCATGCCCGGTGCAGAGATGTAAACAGACAATATGAACAGAATAACAACTGAGAGTTAGATAACGGTGTCTACAACAAGCACATGCTTGAAGAAAAATAGAAGATTCTTAATTCCAATTTCCCACAAACAGTAAGGGGTTTTGGGGTTTTGGGGTTTTGGGGTTTTGGGGTTTTGGGG